TTTTCCTCTGCCGCCCGGAAGTCCAGTTCCTCCATCATAGAGTCTCCTCCTAGCGCGGCGTCCTTTTTCCTCTGCCTGTCCTAACTGAAAGCTCTATCAATTGTGGAGCCGACTGGCGACAGGGAGCCACAGCAGACAGATGAAAGAGCCACATGCGACCCCTGGAATAGATAAAAAATATAGGTTGGACAGCAAGTATATTCAGTTACATTTGATTTCCTCTTTGCTTTTCTTGTTAGACTTTATGTGAAGACGTCATCTTTTCTCTAATGTGTTATAAAGATGAGGATGAAGAGCTCTGGCAGGAGGACCCGTATGAATACATCCGCATTAAATTTGGTAATTTTTATTTGTCAGTTGTCCCTGGTATCTGCTCCTGGAAAATGCCTGGTGACGATACACATTGCTGTGCATTTAGGTCAGCCAACACTTGTGGGGGGTATTTTGTTTGCACAAAACTGGAGGGGATATTGTACTGTACTACACAGTGCCTGCATATCTGATTGCTTACGCAGTTCATCCCCTTCCTAAGCTCCTGTTTTCCATAACCCTTGTGAACTATGATTGTAGAGAAAAGTGTATTAAAAACGGGAAAGGAAGTTGAAAGAAGTAAAATAAGGATATAGTAAAAAGATAAGACATTTGTTGTGAGTAGTTCATCCCCAATAATGATTAGTATATTATAATGATAAACATGCTTGTTCCAGGTGAAGATTATGCCATGGACAGGTGATGAAGAATGAAATAGTAAAGTATTTGGTTGATGTATAGAACAATGACTTTGGCAGTGCAGTGCTGGTCAGGATTTAGACTACTTTTATGAAGTTCAAAGAAGGGCTTTGAAGGTGGCTCAGTAGCTAAGATGCTGAAGTGGCTCAGTGGCTAAGACGCTGAGCTTGTCGATCAGAAAGGTCGGCAGTTCAGCGGTTCGAATCCCTAGCGCCGCGTAACGGAATGAGCTCCCGTTACTTGTTCCAGCTTCTGCCAACCTAGCAGTTCGAAAGCATGTAAAAATGCAAGTAGAAAAATAAAAAACACCGTTGGTGGGAAGGTAACAGAGTTCCATGCGCCTTTGTCATTTAGTCATGCCGGCCACAGGCCCACAGAGACCTATTCGGGCAGCGCTGGCTCTTCAGCTTTGAAACGGAGATGAGCACCGCCCCCTAGAGTCAAGAACGACTAGCACATATGTGCACGGGGAACCTTTACCGTTTACCTTTAGGAAGTTCAAGGTAATCTACTAAAAGCTTGAAGAGAATCAAACTTTATTGTGGTTAATAGATTCCAACATATCTTATTTAACATCAGATTTCTTGAACAAAAGTTCAAGAACTGTTTTCTGTTAATAACAACTTGTTTGCACATGGCTATTTTCTCACTTCATTCCAATATTGAATATAAAAATGTAGGTGTTCGTCACTATACTAAGAATTAGTTAATTTATTGAGTGTGGGGGTAAAAGAAAGTCTTATTTTTCAATGATGGAAAGACCGACTTCAGATTTACCATTTTATACGACTGATATATAATTGTTTCTATTTATGAATTGGCTGTTTATTGAGGCTGGGGAAAAACTGATCAATGTTTACTCCATGCATTTAATGAAAGGTCTAAAAATGTAATGGAGATTCGTGGCCTTTTAAAACTCTTGATTTTGTGCTTTTTGCTCTTTATATTTCTTTTGTTGCTTTTTCTTCTTATCCTCTTTACTTTCTTTTTTATATACTAAAGCAAAAAAAGAGCTTCCAGAAAAACCAATTACTAGCTTGTCCATGTTTTGTCACATTTATAATGATTTGTTAAATTGTCAGCAGCTGTGTAATAACATCCTTTTTCAAATTTTTCAAGATGCGCTTGAGGATTATGCATCCCCTACAACAGCAGCCCAGATTCTTCTGTACACTGCGGCAAAAAAACGAAAGGAGGTACGTGTCATAATTTTGTCAAAATAGGATGGCTTTTTAAATGGTCAAATACCATGTTTCCCCGAAAATACAACATATCCTGAAATTAAAGCCTTGCCATATTTTTTGGGTGGGCAAAAAAATACATTCCCCCCCCCCCGAAAATAAGCCTCCTGCACAACCCCCCCTCCAGCTAGGCAGAGCACCGCTCACCGACCTAGCGGTATCACGAAAGTGCCAAGCCACGGGCACTAGGGGAGGGGGTGGAAGAAAGGCACTCACGTTGCTTGGCACCTTCAGGATACCGCTAGGTTGGGGAGTGGCGTTCTGCCTGGCTGGAGAGGGGAGCTGCCGGGCGGCATGCCTCCCTGCCTCAGCATGCCCTGGCCAGCTGTCCTTGCAGCCAAGCTCTGAGCAAAACTTTTCTCCGGCTGCCAAACTCCGGAATTCGGCTTCCGATTCTTCCAGCCGCCGCTTAGGAGTGTTTTCTATGGTTATGGGCAGGCTGCCAGACAAAGTCTTCCGGCAGCCTGTCCATAACCATAGAGCATGCAAGCTGGGGACGAAGCAGGTGCTTGCGCAACTCCCCTCTCCAGCTGGGCAGAGCTCCATGTACTGACCTAAGGGGTATCCCAAATGTGCCAAGCCGCGGGAGCTGGGGGGTGGGCAGAGTGCCACATGGCTTGGCATCTTCGGGAGCCCACTTGCAAGGGAGCAGCCACCCGGCAACCCCAAAACAATAAGCCTTCCCCCTCTAATAGCCCAAGGTCATATTTCGTGGGTCAAAAAATATAAGACCCTGTCGTATTTTCAGGGAAACACGGTAGTATTTGTCTGTCTGTTCTTTAACAGCAGTTGTGGCATTTATATTCATATTCTTCCAGTTGTTAAAAAAAAATATTAAATATATATTTATCTTTAGGACCTCCTAGCTTGAGTATATAGCTTGTACCATTTCTACAATTAGAATGCTATCTTTGTATGTAACTACTCTATTTTTCGGAGTATAAGAGGCACCGGAGTATAAGACACACCTTAGTTTTTGGGGAGGAAAATGGGGAGGGGGGAATTCTGCCTACCAGGTATTCATCTGGCTAGCATCAGCTTCAGCACATTAGTTCGTTTGCTGGTTTTGAGGTTGGAGATGATGGGAGTTGTGCTTCTAAAGCACAGCTGATTGTCAGAGGGAGCAGCAATTAGAAAAGCAGGCAAAGCACAGAAGATTGCTTAGCTTGTGTTTGGGCTAAAAAACAGCTTCAAAAGCACAGCTGATCCTCAGAGGGAGCTCCAGTGACTAAAGCAGGCAAAGTGGGGAAGGGGTAAGAGAAGGCAGCAGCTGTTCTGGGTATCCATTTTGGGCACCGCATGTCGAGCATTTGGAGACTGAAAGTGCAAAATGCGGAGCCCAAAAACACAAGCCATTGTTGGTGGCAATCTCTGCAGCCAGGAAGAGGACACACGGAGGCGAAGAGTAGGGGACGGTGGGTGGGCAGGGCTACATTTGGAGTATAAGACGCACCCAAATTTTCAGCCTCTTTTAGGAGGGAAAATGTGTGTCTTATACTCTGAAAAATGCGCTAGATTATTTTAAGGTAAGGAATAGGATTGGCTTAAGATCTTCTAGGATTTTTATTTTTGTGTTGATACCAGAGTGCGGGCTCACATTTCAATTGCCATCAGATCCAGCAGGTATTTTTTGGCATCCAAGGACAGCTTTATTAGTTGCTTCTTCTTTTAATTTATTAAGATTGTATAACTGGGAAAATATGTGGAGTATTTTGTATACCCATAGAAGACAGTGGTCTTCCTTCTCCACTCCAATATTGAGATATTAATAGATTTCCCTTGGACTCTGCTAAATTTTCTTGACTGTTTTGTTTAAATGTAAAAAACACCTCTAAGACAATTGTCAGTTTATTTCACCCTAAGGCAATTCTAGAATTTATACTTTTTTATTCTTAAAAAAGTACATAGTTTCAGAATTTCAGGCTATAAATTAAACTATATATTGTACAATGTGTTTTACTGAAACAATCATCTACAGTAGTTTAATGTTGGTGACTTAACGTTGGCGACTTTCCTAATAAATTTGCTTGAGGTTTCATTTCTTTACTTTTTAGGTGTTACCAAAAATGATGGCATTTTGTTATCAGATTCTCACTGAGCCCAACATTGACCCAAGAAAGAAAGACGGGGCATTACATGTAATTGGATCACTGGCAGATATCTTGCTGAAGGTAAAGCAATGATGTCATGTGAAATGCATAATGGTCTTATCTCTAGAGATTTGACACCCGTGATTTGTGATACTTCAAAAAAAAAAAGCCTTATGAAAGAGCCCAGCTGCATAAAAGTGTCCTTGATTAAAAGTGATTATGTAGCTGTCAGGCTGGGCAGAAACGGAGCCTGCTGATTAACATCCAGGACTTAACCAAAAAAAGAGAGGCTTCAGTGATGCTTTGTAGCCTCTTTAAAATTTCAGGTTGAATTTGTCCACTAGTTGAACAATGAATTCTGCTCCCTGTTACAAGATTGAGTTCATTTTTGTATTTCCCAACCTCCTGCCAGAGGAATCAGTGCTGATAGTGAATGTCTATGTCTGTACCTTGAGATTTTAAAGGGCTTCTTATGTATTTAGTTCATAATCTGCATGGCATGTGCTGAAGCCATGCAGCATTGGGAATCTCCTCAAGCTAATTCTCATAATTAGGAACTCAGCTTTGGGTTATGATTGCATACCCTTGTAGAATTCTTAATAATGAGTTATGGCAAAGCCACATCCTTTACAAGTACTCATTCCATGTAGGCTTCTGTCCAACTATTTAAGAGCCACGGTGGCGCAGTGGTTAGAATGCAGTACTGCAGGATAATTCTGCTAGCAGCCTGCAATTTGGCAGTTCGAATCTCACCAGACTCAAGATTGACTCATTTTTCCATCCTTCCGAGTTGGGTAAAATGGGGACCCAGATTGTTGGGGACAATGTGCTGATTCTGTAAACCACTTAGAAAGGGCTGTAAAAGCACTGTGAAGCGCTATATAAATCTTAAGTACTATTGCTAGTGAATCGACTAGATTACTCCTGTTCAGGCTCACGTGGCTAAGCTGATTGCAGTAACAAACATTGTCACTGCATTTTGTTAGACAACCCAAGTAGTGTGATATTTTAAGTTTGAGTAGTTTCAATTTTACGTTTTGGCAGCTCTTTTGCTGATATCAGGATGTTTTCTAAAAATTAATTTGAAGCTGGTGTAACCGCTTAATAATTACATGAGAATATTTATTGTAAAAATTGAGACCAAATCACTTCTTTTTCGGTTAATTATTACCCCTATTAGAAAAGCGTGTTCAAGGATCAGATGGAGTTGATGCTGCAGAATCATGTCTTTCCGTTATTCATGTCAAATCTTGGATATTTAAGAGCAAGAGTAAGTGAATAGAACATATGCTTTTTTACAGGAGGGTTTGGGTTACCTGGTGCCTGGAGATAAATAGGTGTTTGCAAAGAGAGCTAATAATGTGTTTAGAAGAATACACATTCATCTTACTCATTCTCACACTGAAGCTGTAAAGCTTGCTTGGAAGGCCATCACAATCATCATCTCTGTTTAACAACCCCATAATCCTTTGCAGGGTGGAGTAAGTAGATACATTCTCATTGTACCCAGAGAGGGAAATATCTGCCTCTACCTAGGATCGAACTCACAGCCTCTTGATTGTGAGGTGAGAGTTCTACCTCTAGGCCACAGCACCACTCCTATTGGAAGGCCGGCATGTTAGGACAAAAATTACTACTCCCTTTAACATAATTATTGAAAAGCAGAACTCGGCATAAGCTTTTGTAAGTTTGGGACAAAGATTATTCTATATTTATACAGTTTAATAGGCTGATTCCCAGAATACAATACAATAGCAGAGTTGGAAGGGACCTTGGAGGTCTTCTAGTTCAACCCCTTGCCTAGGNTAGCGCTTAGAACGGCGCGAATTAGTCTTCGCGCTTATGTCTCCGCGGATAAGGGCTTCGCGGATTTGTGGTGGAACCAAATTTTGTACCGGTTGTCCTCACTTAATGACTGGTTGCTTAATGACCAGTGGCTTCGTGATTGTTCGTAGTTACAATGGACCCCCAAATGGTACCTACAACCTAATTCTGGAGTTTTACAGCCACACACGTTTATGCATACACATATCACAGTCATACGATTGCATTTTGGGTGCCTGGCGGTCACATGATTGTAGGTTTTTTTGCCAGTTTCCAGCATTTACTTCTGGCTTCCTGCAAAAAGGGGTCGTTGGATAAAATGAATTAGTCTAATGATCCACTGTACTCATTCAACAACTACAGTGGTCATTAACCACCATCACAATTTATGACCGTACTTCTAATTTAAGGACTACCTGTACCCAGTCCCATTTTATCGCTTGCACCAGAAAATTGGGTTTTAAGAAGGCTTGGCTGTGTCCTTGTTCCTGCTGAAGATTTCTGTGTTTAAAAGGGAGGAAAAATGGGGCCAGGCATGTCCTGGTAACAGTGGCTTTATGTGCCTGCTGCCCTAGCATGCAAATAGAACTCTCTGGGTGCAGAGATTCATTTCAGATCCCCTTGCTAAATTTCCCATGGGAGAGAGGGAGGATTAGAATGAAGAAATATTCTCCCTCTCCTCCCCCCCCGGTTATCCATGTTCACTGTTGACCTCAATGTTGTTCCTTTCTTAAAAGAAGCTTTCTAGCAACAGCTCCACAATGATATAAAAATGAAAGCTTAGCCCAGAATAAATAATACAATCTGTATTAGCTACGTTCATTTTTCCTTTATATTATTTGATACGTTGTAATGAAGAGAGAAGAGGGTCGCGGTGGCTCAGTGGCTAAGATGCTGAACCTGTCGATCAGAAAGGTTGGCAGTTTGGCGATTCAAATCCCTAGCGCCGCATAATAGAGTGAGCTCCCGTTACTTGTCTCAGCTTCTGCCAANACAAACCTTAAGACTTTGTTTCTGCTGGCACAGCACTTGATCAGTGTAATTCTCATCAGTTAAAGAGCTTTCCAAAAGAAAAGAAAAAGTTTTTGCACTCTGCAAACCTCCGAAAAACAACCCGTTTTTCGCAAACAGGCACGTTTTTTTTTTCAAATAAAAGGCATGAATAGCCTTGGGGGAGCTTGCAGAGTGTTCCTGGGGGGTTGGAGGGGAAGAGCAAAAAAAACAGCCCGTTTTTTGCTTATTTCTGCCTTCCCCAGCCTGAAAGCCTTCATAAGGCTATGCGTGGCCATTTTGGTGAAGGGGCGGGGCTTCGGGAGGCAAAAAATGCTGTATTTGATGTACCCAGATTTTCAGGCTCTTTTTTTGAGGAAAAAAGGTGCGTATTATACTCCGAAAAATACGGTAATTCCTGAATCCTGAGATTTTATCAAGTGGAGTTATAGAGCATGAGGTGGCCTACAATCTCAGGAAAAGAAGCAGTTGCTTTAAGGCAGGGGTTGGCAACTTTAAACACTCAAAGAGCCATTTGGATCCATTTCCCACAGAAAAGAAAACACTGGGAGCCACAAAACTCTTCCGGTGCCTGACTATTTCCTGAGTGGCCACAAAACTAGCATAAGTAGTTGAATTAAACATTCTGTTTTCTTCTGAAACTTTTATTGGATTTATCCATGGTTGACATATTGTGGGTCAAAAAGCTCAATAAATCGCATGCCAGCGGGTGTCGCATACAGGCGGTTGTGATGTGTATTTTGAGTGACAGGGAGCCTCAGCAGAGGGATGAAAGAGCCACATGTGGCTCCAGAGCCACAAGTTGCTGAGCCCTGCTTTAAGGAGATGTGCAGAGAGGCTCCACAGTATGTTTTGAGCAGCTCCAGAGTGCTGCATAGCCTTAGCATTTTCATTTTCATATTGTCTCTCTCCTAAAATGCTTTATAGATTATATTTCTCTCCATACATAATTTTAGAAATATTCTTTTGGAGAAAAGTGTTATATTTGAGTTGGTAAACATTGCCAGTGATTCTCTTTAAGTTTCAATTCATAACTGCAAAATGAGAATAAATGATGAATTTGGCATTTACAATATAATATTTAAAGCATAAAATGTCTTTTTTGGCTTATTGTGAATAATGAGATTACTATTCCCAACTTTATTAATCAGAAGTAAAAATGGATATGTCTTAAATTAGCTTTTTTTCTTCTTCCTCTCTGTTAAGAGTTCTCCAACAAGAATGATAATTCTTAGATTTCTTTCTGGCAGATAAGAGATTCTATTGTATTTCATTCATTATAGTTTTGTTTTGTTTTTCTCAAGGATCCTATAATGTACCTGAGCAAAATTGAAGGCTGCATAACATGCACTTTGTTTTCCCATAAGTAGGACATAAAGAGTTTGATGCCGCTCACCTTTCAGATCTTTGCCTTGGGCCTAACTCTTTTGGAAAGGAACAAATGTAACCATGATCAATCTGAGTGAACAAGTAGCCTTTAATTATATCTCAGCTGGAGAGAAAATAATAGATGCAAGAGTTAGTTTAGCAGTAGCACTTAGACTTCTATACCACTTCATGGTGCTTTACAGCTCTCTCTAAGCGGTTTACAGAGTCAGCCTATTACCCCCAACAATCTGGGTCCTCATTTTACTGACCTCAGAAGAATGGAAGGCTGAGCAAACCTTGAGCCCATCAGTGCAGGGGTTCCCAACCTTTTCTATACCCCGCACCCCTAGAACGCTTCTGATATATTCTCACACTCCTTACAAAAGTAAATAATTATATGCATATGCACTACAATTTGGAAACTTCTAAACCCAAGTTTCGCAACCCCTGGAATATTGTCTCACACCCCAAGGGGGTGCGAACACCCCCAGTTTGGAACCCCTGGCCTAGCGTTAAGGCACCAGACTAAAAAAGCAGAAGAAATCCATCTTAGCCATGAAAGCCAGCTGGGTGACTTTGGGCCAGTCACTCTCTTTCAGCCCAACCCATCTCACATCTCAGTTCAGGAGGTGATGATCGTCCTCCCTTAAGCATGGAAGCCGTCTAGGTCACTTTGGGCCACTGACTGTCTCTTGACTCAACCCATCTCATAGAGTTCTAGCTATGGAGAAAATAGAATAGATCGGGGTCAGCAACTTGAAGCTCCCTATTCAATTCTGGAGCAGACTGGAAGTCCGATTCCCCCACCATAGAGTCACTCCTAGGGTGGCATCCTTTTTCCTCTACCAACCGGAAGTCCTGTTCCCGCATCGGACTTAACCCTAACCCACCCTTAAGTCTCCTAACGCAGCGTCCTTTTTTCCTCTGCCGCCCGGAAGTCCAGTTCCTCCATCATAGAGTCTCCTCCTAGCGCGGCGTCCTTTTTCCTCTGCNGTTGGGGGCAATATGCTGACTCTGTAAACCGCTTAGAGAGGGCTGAAAGCCCTATGAAGCGGTATATAAGTCTAATTGCTATTGCTATTGCTATGACTTGGGGTATGTGCTAACTATAGAATTTTAAAGAATTTACAAATGAATGAATTTAGTGAGTGATTATAAAACAACACACAGATAATTCTGTAGGGTAAATTAATTTATTTCATTCTCAGGATGAATTTCATTCTCTCCTTCTAGATATGATGCCCCTACTGCACAACTACATCACTGTTGATACTGATATTTTATTGTCAAATTCCAAAAATTTGGAGGTAATTTATACCATGTGTAAAAAGGTAAGTTTTCAAAGTTCCTCATACTTTGATCAACCTGCTGTCCATGGCGAATGTGAGAACGTGAATGAAAAGTATGACTGAATACTCTTTAAGCCCATGAGATAGACATGCTTAGCTTTGCTTTCATAATAATTTAATGATCAAGGTTACATTATTCAGACCTCCAGTCTGTAGCACGTGCAGTTTATTGCTCAAGGTGTTTGGTTTAGGGTAAGAAGTCTTACATTTTAAGACTTACTCATGACAGAACACAATATATTATTACATTATATATATAGTAAAGGCCAGAACAGATAGAAACAAATAAAAGACTGTCTTCAGGTAAAGTTCCATTTTTTATAACCAAGAACTCAGGCCTGCCCTTGTTTTCTGCTGACAATATGCATGCACTGTTCATGTCACGATTTAGAAGTGGGCCTTTTTTTAAAAACAGGATTTTTCTGAAAACTGTAGGGGAATCGTTTCCACTTGAAGGAACCCATTCCAGTTCTTTATTTTCTTACATTTTGCCATTTAGTGCATTCATATCATACTGTCAGCGTTCCAAATAGCATCCAAAAGTAAATCAGAGTCCAAGGCAAAGGATTCCTCAAAGTTCCAATTTATTAAGAGAGCCACGTTGGCACATCTGAGAAAACCCAAATCTGAAAGCTCCCCGGTTTTCCTCACCCAATTGAAAGTTCAAAATGTTGCCCCCACACTCACAAGTCCATCACATGGTCCAATCTCCCACTGCCATGCTGGCAGTTCCACCCACGCAATTCCGGTCAGGGGCAGAGGTGCAGAGACAAAGGATGGCTGACCTTGGCTTTCTAGAAAGAATTTTGTTATGGCTACATAGTATGTGACTCCTTACAATCCCCCCTCCCATTTNGGCTATTTGCTGATATTCTGCCTTAGTTATGTCCCCCTCTTTCCATTTTTTATACTTATCTTTTTTGTCTTTCAATTTGTCAGAGAGTTCTTTATGCAGCCATCCTGGTTTCTGTTTGGAGCTGTTATTTTTCTTCTTCATTGGTATTGTGCTAGACTGGGCTTTTGTAGCACAATACCAATGGAAAAGAAAAATAACAGCTCCGAAAAGAAACCAGCCACACAAGATGATATCTTGGTTGCTATTTCATGTGTCATCTTATTTTATGCAGTTGTAGTTATTTTATTTGTTGTTATCTAGAAAAACACAATAGGTAATTCCAGTCCTTCATTTCTATCACAGTCTCCCATATTTCCTCTAAATTACATATAGAAGGTGAAGGATAGTATTCTGTATAGAAAAGCCTTGAGCAGAAGTTCAAAGATTTCTTTGAATCTCGGACTCTGGTTTCAGTGCTGCTCTATTATGAATTCTTTTGGGGTGGGTGGACAATTGTGTTGTGGAGAGGACTGCCTTGAAAATGATAAAATATAATGAACTCATAACTGTTAACACACAAATGTAAGAGTATCTGATTTTATTTTTTTACAGAAAATTTTTATTTTTTTATTCTCTTACGTATCATTTTAAGTATACATTCACATAATTATTTTTCTTCTTTACATTTATCATTTTTATACATTTGTGATTCCATTTGATAGGTTATAATATACAGATGCAGTTTGGTTTGCTTTGTTTACCATCCCTTCCTCCTGTTGTAACACCACCTTATTTTCCCTTTCTTTTCTCCCTCCCTCCCTTCTCTCCTTTCCTCCTTCCTCCTCTCCTTTCCCTTCCTTCTTCCCTTACCTTTCTCAAGAGTATCTAATCTTTAATAGCATCTGATTTGCTTTTTTTTCTTGTGCCACAGTCCTGTTGGACCATTCGTTCATTCAGCACCTTAAAATTTCACAATGAGCTCAATCTAAAGAATGCCGTTGAACTGATAAAAAAGAGCTTGATTGAAGACAAAGAAATGCCTGTCAAAATGGAAGCTGCCATTGCACTTCAGTCCTTGATAAGCCATCAGGAGCAAGGTTTGATTTTCACTTTCCTTGGTTGCCCACCGTCGTTCCTCTTCATGGACTTTATTTGTGTCCCATCTTTTTTGTTTCCTTTCCCTACCATCATCATCATATGCAATGAATCTTATTTTCAATATTCTCTTGCTTATCTCTGTTCATTTGCCCTTCCTTCCTTCCTTCCTTCCTTCCTTCCTTCCTTCCTTCCTTCCTTCCTTCCTTCCTTCCTTCCTATCAGGGTAATGATTTAGGAGCTGACCAGCTGCTACAATGATGTAATGCTAGGACTGAGTTAGCAAGGTTTTTGGGCTGATATCACTTTAAGAACCTGTAATAAGAAGAGGCCCTGTTGGGGTATATCTCTGTGTTTGCTTCTGTGTTGTAATTGCTGATTGCTGTTTGTTTGAGGTCTGACTAAAGTACGTATATGTATATATTCTTTGTAGATAAAACCATTATTTAAATACGAACCTTTGTTTACTGTATTTGCTCCTGGATTATTTCATATAGTCACATTGGGTGCACTCTGACCCTTCCTTCCTTCCTTCCTTCCTTCCTTCCTTCCTTCCTTCCTTCCTTCCTTCCTTCCTTCCTTCTTCTATCCATCCATCCATCACCTTATCAAACACCTTTCTTAGTTTATAGATTATCCTATTTCCTGTTTTTCCCCAATATACTTAAAAATTAATATTAAACTATTTGGGCTTCTATTTTAACTCTACCTTTTGTCTCAGTTTTTGTCTAACTGGCTATATATATATATATTTAGATGTGGTTGAAGACAGGGATTGCTACATACAAAAATATTAGTTTCAAACTGTTTTAAAAATAATAATTGCATTTATATCAGAGTAAGTCTTCCTGGTGACTTTATGAATTTAGGGGTTTTGGTCAACAGTATGGATTTGCATCTCTTATGGGATTATTTTTTTAAGATTCCAAATGTAGCATTCCCTGTTAATGCATTTTTGTGTGAAAAAGAAGCAGATGGACAGGTAGAAATACAGAACATTGTTACCAAAGACAAAAGAAAGATACCAAGTGCAATTAAAGAGCTCACTCAGACAAGCAGATATTTGTCTCGTAATCCGTTTTAATCCTCAACTTATGGCAATTCACTTAGTGACCATTGAAAGTTGCAACGGCAGTGAAAAAAGTGACTTTCGACCGTTGAAGCATCCCCATGGTCACATGATCACAATTCAGATGCTTGGCAATTGATTCCTATTTATGACAGTCACTGGATCCTGGAATCACGTGATTCCCCTTTCGCGACCTTCTGACAAGCAAAAATCAACAGAGAAGCCAGATTCACTTAACAACCATGTTACTAACTTAACGGCTGCAGTGACTCACTTAATAACTGTGCCAAGAAAGAAAGGCTGTAAAATGGGACAAAACTCACTTAACAAATGTCTCTGTTAACAGCAGGAACGTTGGGCTCAATTGTTGTCGCGAGTCCAGAACTTCCTGTATCTATTCTTTTAAAAAAGTTCCCCTGTGTTATGTTTGAATGTATGTTTGGTTTCTTTTTAGCAAAGGAATACATTAAGCCCTACATCAGGCCTGTTATGCAGGAGCTGCTGCTTGTAGTTCGAGAGACACAGAACGATGAACTTACCAATGTAATTCAGAAGCTGATCTGTGAATACAGCCAAGAAGTAGCCACCATTGCTGTGGAAATGACACAACATCTGGTAAGTGAGGGCAGGGATTCCCTTTTGGATGAAGGCTACTGATAAAACTTGCTTTAAGTCCCTTTGTAAAAACGTCATTTTTACAAAGGGAGGTTTACCAGCCATCCTGAAAGGTTCCCATTATCACTTTAGATTACGGAAGATTAATCTAGACTTAATTTTCAGTGTTGGGCGGAAAATAATGTCATTCAATTGTAGTGGGGGATAAAACCAAACATATTAAACTGGCTGTTGTGGCCCGCCAGTGGCCTGCGGAGCTGGCAGCATATTCAGACAGTGAGGGGGTTGGGGAGGCCTGGAGTCTGGGGAAGGCTCTGATGAGGACTCTGTGCCAGAAGCAGAAAGGAGGCCAGAGCCATATGCCAGTTAACAGCCAGTTATCATCATATGCCAGTTATCATCATCAAACATCAGTGAGGCAGATGAACAGCAAGAGCCTGTTCCCAGTGTGCGCATGCGCAGAGTTGCCAGACGAAAGGAACAGCTAAAAAACAGGGGTCAACTTGGTAGCAAGGTCACAGGTGGATGATGAATGGCCCCTCCCAGAGGAAAAAAAAGAGGAGCGAAAGGGGAGTGGAGTTTGCAGGAGACAATTAGTTCGCTTAATTGGTTGGTGACTCCTTTTTTTTGTCAGGACAAGGACTTTGCTTCATGTTCTTGGGAAGCAGTGATGGGTTCCTATTTGGGGGGGAGGGCGAGAGGAGCAAACCTCTAATACTTTTTTTTAAAAAAAAACCTCAAAATGCAAATTTGAAGTTGACGCAAGGATTTTTGTGATTTATGATGTCAGTTTTTTCTGCATTTAATTTCTTTAGGCTGAGATTTTTGTTAAAGTTCTTCAGAGTGAAGAGTATGAAGAAATGGAAGATAAAACTGTGATGGCCATGGGGATCCTGCATACAATTGACACAATCCTAACTGTGGTGCAGGATCACAAGGAGGTGAATCTTTTCAACTCTTTGAAAACTCAATTCAAGCGTTTGTGCAAAGAGATGTGATACAGAAATCCTTGCTGTAAACGAAGGAAACCTTGTGTGCCAGGAGATGGCACCGTAGACTTAACAAATGTATGAGATACTTGCATGCAATTTGTACCTAGTAATGATGTAAAACATTTCAAATATGGA